CCTGGTTTCTCTTATTAAATATTCAAGGAAAAATAAAGGATAAAGAAGTAATGCAGAAGGAACTCCAGAATCTAGGCAGGGAAAGTTGGGCAGGTCCCTAGAACCTGAAAAAGGACCCAGAGGCTGGCACAGAATGTTATCTCTTCTGTTGTTGTTTTCTCAGTTAAGACGTATTTGCACAATGAACAGGAGAATGATTGGGTATAGTTTAGACACCTGTTCTGAAACAAACCATGAATCTGTCGGTTCAGCCCCTCCTCCTTTGCTCCACCAGCCTTCCACCCTATGGAAATATGTGCTGCCTTGTATGGTTGGTCTGCAGACCAAGTCCTTTACCCTGCTTACTGGCATTGTTCCTTGGGATTAGCTAAGGCCAGAATAATTACATTTCTATTTCTCCTGAAGGACACTGTAAATTGTTTGAGCTTCTTCTACTTAGGCTACATTAAACAAAGTTGAAAGACCTGTTTTTTCCCTTCCTGCTCATTTTAAATTTCTTTTGAATTGCAGTTGTGAACCAGGGTGGTTGTGTGGTGTGTGTGTGTGTGTGTGTGTGTGTGTATGTGTGTGTGTGTTTATACATCCATATTTGAATTGAACTATGGAGTGGAAAATTCAGGACAAAATAAATAAACTCTCTTACAATTTGAATTATTTCTAAAGAATAGAAGACTGACTAAGGCCAATAAGGGTATAAAAGACTTCTAAAATATCTAAGAAGATTTTTCATTAAAATTAAGTTTTATGAGACTCTATTGACAGGTTTAAAATAAAATGGCAATGAATGACTATGTTGCTAAGTTTTCACTTTTTAAAAACATACATTTTCTAGAATGATTGGAAATATTTAATACTGTTAATATTGTATCTTTTTAATCATATATAATGAGAACTTATCTGCCTAGAGCACCCATAGTCTGTAAGATTTTTACATGACAGGTGTGGTGTCTCACACCTGTGATCCAGGTGCTTTAGGAGGTAGAGGCAGGAGAATCGCTTCAGGCCAGGAGTACCAGGAGTTTAAGACCAGCCTGGACAACTTTGCAAGACCGTCATCTCTACAAAAAGAAATGTTTTACCAATCCTTTTCCTAAAATATTACGATAGTTGTTCGGGGTCCGCTTATGAGTGAGAACATATGATACTTGGTCTTTGTTTCTGTGAAAGATCACTCAATATTATGGACTCTAAGTCCATCCAGGTTGCTGTGAAGTTCATGATTTTGTTCTTTGTGACTGAGTAGTGTTCCATTGTGTATATGTGCCACATTTTTTTTTATCCAGTCCTGTTTGATGGGCAGCATGGTTGGTTCCCTGTCCTTGCTACTGTGAAAAATGCTGTGATAAACATATGTGTGCAGGTTAAAAAAAAATTAGGTGGACATGGTGGCATGTGGCTGTAGTCCCTGCTACTCAAGAGGATGAGGCAGGGGGATCCTTTGAGCCTAATGGTTACAGGCCACCATGAACTGTGGTCACACCATGGCACTCTAGCCTGGGCAGCAGAGTGAGATCCTGTCTCTAAAACAAAACAAAAATTATATAACACTCAGAACACTATACATTCTTCAAAATAATAAATCAGGGGCTAAATCAATTGTCTTTGACACTCTTTTCTTGGCCATATACTTTAGTATTAGAGTCATCAACTCTTTATAGCTGCAACCACACAGCAGTCTTTTTGATAGAATTAGGTGTCCATTGGAACAAGTTGTTTTGACTTTGTTAGTTTTCATTATGTTTCTTTCACACAAGAAGAGAACTACTCTATTTTCCTCTTAATGGAATGTTAGGTTGACTCACAGTGCCTGAAAAAAGAACTTGGTTATTTTGAAAGTCGATCATGAAATTTCCTGTCTGGAGCATGTTAATTACGGATATTAACATTTGTAAGAATCCTTGCAAGTAACATAGATGAGATTTCCTTTGCCTCATGATTCCTCTGAGCACAAAACATCCCTACCCTTTTTCCCATCCCCAGTGATCCAAACTTCTGGTTGCAGATACTATCTCAAAGTGCATGATATTCACTGAGTAGGGAAAAATCATAGGTTTATAGGCATGCTCTTTAAAGTAACTATCTGAAAAACAAAAAATATCACAGCCTATCAGATGCTAACTATGGAATGTAATAAAACCATCTTTCAGAGAATTAGTGTGGTAGAGCGATTTTAGTCCAGTAAGTGCTAGCCTCCTGTCAGTTTGTCCCAATCTCTTGAGCCTCTAGTTGAGCCAAAAATTTCCTAAGCCAAGCTTTCTCGCAAGATTTCCTGTACTTCCTGTTTCTATGTGAGCCAGAAATACCATGAGAACGACCTTTTTTGTGGTATTTTTGCACTTCTACTCTGGGATGAAGATAATCCCATACTGGGGGGGAACATTTTTTAATTGTGCAAACATTTTCAATTTTCAAACTTCAAATGAAGTACGTTTCTACTTTGGAATGAAAATGTGAAATGGTGTTTGCTTGGCCCTGACTCATCTCCACTAGGAAGTATTCCTGTTCAATGACTCTACATCCTATAACTTCTCTAAGATATTTTTATAAGGAAATATGGAAAGCAGTATAGAGGATACAGTGGAAATTTATAACCTTGGATTTTTTTTAAAGTCATTCTTGAAGAAATGTACAATGCAGTGTTGTGTTCTTAATATATTAGTGTATGCGATACATTATATCATATATTTGTTTTCTTTGTTCTTAACCCCTTTGTTCCAAGGGTCAGGATATCCTGATGCTAAGTACTACTGCAAAATAACCGAACAAAAATAAAAATAGTCAAACACTTAGGAAACTCTTCAGTTGTTATGTCAAGGAAGTTTGTGACTGAGCAGTGAGTTTAAGACATTATTCAGGAAATATGACAGTAAAGTGAAACAGCCTATATGTGCTTGTTAAATAAAATAATCTCAATTCTAGAGAGCACTGATGTCCCCAGCCTGATGGAAGGGTAAGATAAGACCTGGACGGGCCATCAGAGTGGTGGAAGCGTCAAACTGATGCTTGAATCCCTTCATCTCTCGACAAAGAGAGAAATGAAGAAAGGCATGTCTTCCTGATAAAATGAATTACAGATTATTCCATAGTTGGGTTATGTGACTATCTGGTGGGTATAGGAACAGCTGTTTAATCAATATTTTAATAATGAAATTCACAAAAAGCATTGTCTTCAATGTCTTTATTGTTGTTTTATAGCCCCTTGACCTTTCTTCACCTGGTAGGAAAGAGAGTAGGTTTGCCAGTATACTTTTCCATTCAGAAAAAAGAAAAGTCACTGAATCCAGCGTGGAAAACTAAACTTGTTAACCATGGGTTTAGAAGAAGAAGAAGAAGAACAAAATTACAGTAGCCTTTGCTGGTTTCAACTTTTGAGAAACGAGGTGGGAAGCGATGGACATAAAACACACTCCGCCTCGATCTTTCTCCTGTCCCCCAAGTCTTCTCCTGTCTCCCATAAAGAAACATCAAATGATCACGTGATAAACCAGCCTTAAAAGGAATGTAGAGCAAGAGCAACAGATCGTACATCAGCAAAATGACATGCCAAGCAAAATAAAGCGCTTTGCAAGGCAGAGATGTGAAGAGGAGAGGGAGATGGGTTTGTTACAACGTTCTCCAAGAAAACAGGGGCGATTCACGTGGACTCTCAAGTTCAAATTGTTCCTACAAACCCAATTTGCTGGCACAAATACCACCCCACTTGCGTTTCTGTCCAGGGCCTTTCATAGGAGCCACAGGAAGCATCCGCTTTTGTCGTGCTGGCGCTGGCTTCCAGGGTTGGTGCCTTCATCTCTGAGCCTTGGGAAACAAGAAGCATGGCCCACGGCTGCCCTCAGTTCGACTACTCCCAGGTGGGCCACACAGTAGTCCGTGGCCCAGATATGAAGTCGACAGTGCTCTCTCTCCAGAAAGCGGGTCTTGAACACTTTCTTTCTTTTCACTGCCATTTAGGCTCCCCTATGAACATCTTTAAAATGATTAGGTTCCTTTGACAGTGAATTTTCAACCATCCTGAGCCATGTGTCTAGGTGACACAAGCCCACTGCTCATCTGCAGGAGTATCTTGATGCTTCCCTAATTCGCGTCTTTCAAAGTTAGCTGTGGAATGTGATTCAATGCTATTTCCCTTCCAGCTGAAGGGCAGCTGAGGTTACAAAGGGATTTGACTAATAGGCCAAAACCCAGTTAGGTTTGCTGAGAACCGAATGGCACCAAAGGGGAGGGGTGCGGAGAAGGAGCAGGCATGTTTGAACTGTGCTATGGATGATCATTAGCGGAAGCCCATCCCAGCACAGGCCTTGGTGAACCGGCAGGGTGCCCCCGACCACGGGCTTTTTGGAGAGAGGCAGCTGTGGAATGGTGCTGCGGGCTCTCAGCCTTCACTGCCCCCAAATCCCTAACCTCCCAAAGCTCCTTGGGGCTTGCAGGGCCTGAGCCTGGAAAACGTCTAGGTTTCCTGCACCACGGGGGTGACTCCTCACCTGACACCTCCAGGTCACTGGCCACTGGGGAAACCCCCCTCTTGGAGGCTGGCAAAGGGAGAACCCCGCTTCTTTGCTGAAGTCCTTAAGAGCTAAGCCATTTGACCAACTTTGACAAGCACCGAAAGAGAACGGAAAGCAAATTAATCAGAAGGAAGAAGCGGAAAAGCAAACGCTCAAAACCTCGATGGCTTCCCCCCCTCTGCTGTTGCTCCAGCTGTAGCCTGGGATTAATTAAGTGCTGTGAACTCAGGGCCTGAGAGAGAAAGGGGGGGAAAAATACATTCTATCTCTAAGGAAGGAGTACAGTAACAGTTTCTCACCAGTGAGAAACCTTGGGAAGTGAATCGCTCACGTCGGCAGTGTGTGTGCAGGGGCTGGAGAGGCGGGAAGGCTGTGCCAGGCTGGAGGAGGCTTGTCTTTCCGAAGCTGGAGAGGATCGCACAGGGGTTCGCCTTCCCCTGCCTGGGAAGAATTTCCCCTGTGGTAGCGGCGGCGGCGGCGGCGGCGGCGGCAGCGGCACGACCTCCTCTTCTGGGGCGCAGGGCAGAATGCCTGTGCTAGAGCGCTATTTCCACCCGGCAGAGCTAGGCAGGAGGTGGCCAGGCCCAGAAGGTGTGCTGTCCTCCTCCTCCCCGGGCAGCCGGCCGGGGTGCCAGCAGGGGCCGCTGCCCTGGGACTTGCCAGAGATGATCAGGATGGTAAAGCTGGTCTGGAAATCCAAAAGCGAGCTGCAGGCGACCAAACCGAGAGGCATTCTGGAAAATGAAGATACTCTCCCCAGTTTTCCAGGTAAATTGACACGGAGTGTGAAAGGTAACAGGGCCAAGTCTGATTTCTTTCAGTCTGTTCCCTGGAGAGCCCAAGTCATGAAATTGGGGAAAGGGAGGAAGACAAACGGTGCAGCGTAGGGTGTGAAGGCTGTGACTTTCCAATGTTTGCTCTTTGATAGAAACGCATCTTAAAATTAAGAGCAGTACAGTAGGAAGAGTATTAGACTGGACATCAAGAAACCTGGGTCCCAGGCTGAGCTTGCCACAAGCTTGCCCTGTGGGCTTAAACAAGTTAAATTTCCTGAGTGTCAGTCCCCGTGAGGAGGGGGTGGAATCGGATGCTTCTTAATGGTCATCTTAATGCATCTTGTTTCTTGTCAACAAGTTAGAGATGTCTCCAAGAGAATCTTCTCCTTGGGTTGCTTTTTTGTAATTCTGTATATAAAGTAAAATATATCTTCCAATTGTTAACTGTGCTATCACAGCATGTCGTGTTTCCAAGACTGAATTCGGCCTGGAAACTTTGTATGGTCCAGGCAAGTTAATAAACTTCCTTGCCTCAGTTTCCCACTGTTGACAAATGACAATAATACAAGTACCCTCATGGACATGAGGGGAAAAAATGAACTCACAAATGTAGAAATGAGGTTTCCTAGGGACTCTGTCATATCATAAGAATGTGCTGTGTTGGGACAGTTGTAGAGAACTTTACTGTGTTTCTAACGGTGGGTGCAAATACCTTGAATCCCTTCCAAGTATCCTAAGTGGCTTCGCAAACTAAGAATGCCATATCTGACGGCAGGATGCTCTCTTCCTCTGGGGAATATGTTGATAGATATTTGGAAAGTGATGGGTTCACTTTAGAAGAAGGAACATGAGTGTGTGTTTATGCATCTGAAGTCTTGGCTAGCCCTATACAACAGAATCCTGGCATGGTGAGGGATGGGGTAGATAGAAAAGACACATCTAAAAGTTATTTCTCCCTTTCTGTGCAAAGAGACTGAGAAATAAAAATTTGCCTAGTTTTGATTTTAATAATTTATGCCAGAAATTTTTTCAAGTGTTACCTAATAATCTATAAAGAATATTATGAAGAATTAATGATCTGGGCAAAGAAAAGATTTAAAAGGAAGAAAAAATAACTAGTGTTGGTCTCTAGTAAACAATGAGTGCTTGAGTACATAGGAAAGAGAAGGAAACCAATAAGACTGAGGTTAATGTGGAATTGGGAGAAGGATGCCCAGAGAAATGGATCTTGGTCAGAAGAAATGAGGTAATGTGAAAGCCATCCTGTCTTTCGTAAGAGTAGGGCCAAAAAAAAAACCCAGAAAACCCACCTGGGCAAAAATTTAACTGACACTTCAACTGCTACCACTTTTGGTTTGTTTCAAATAAATGATTAAAATTAGTATTTCAAATTGCACCCTTTGATAAAACTGCCTAATTCAACAGCTGTTAGCCCATCTGTGGGGTAGGTATTATTATTTATATTATGTATTAGTGGTCTACGTTCTGAAAAAGCAATATTTGGGGGACCTGTAACTTTTTTATCACTTTTAAAAGGTACATTATTTTGGACATTATGAAGCAGAGCTTGTTGAGTCTTACTATGCCTGGCGACCACTGCCTCTCTTTCAGTGGAAATTGTCTTAGGAGCCACTTGGATTCCTAGGGAAGCTGTACCCAGTCTGCTGTCCCAGTCACCTGCCTGTGAGAAAGCAGATTCAACTCAACACATCCCCAGAGGATGTGTGTTTGCCCCCCCACTCCCGTCTTCCTCCCCATCTTCTCATTCTCAGGGGGAGGAGGGCTCACGTTTTCTGGTATCATAAAACCTGATCATCCATCTGCACAGCAGAAGGCCATAGGAAGAAACCCCCAAAATGCATCACTTCACTTTCCAAAATGTCTCGTAACTTCTTCCTCACTCATCTTATCCCTGATGCTGCATTTCTTCCAAGCATCAGGAGTCCTTAACAGTACCATTTTCGCCATAGCAGCATGATGGTGAGGACCTCAGGAACACTTGTAGAATATTTCCAAAAATCTGGCATTTTCCATTTTTAGGAAGTAGTCATTTAAGCTGTTTTCATTTCATGTATGGGGGTTTGTGGTAGAAAGTCTTCAAAAACACACCAAGACACATGAGGATCTCTCTCTCTCTCTCTCTCTCTCTCTCTCTCTCTCTCTCTCTCTCTCTCTCCCTCTTTCCCCCTCCCTCTCTCTCTCCCTCCCTCTCTCAGTCTCTCTCCTTCTCTCTTCCCCTCTCTCCCTCTCTCTCTCATTTCACCTTTGCCTCAGCAATTAATACTTTGAAAACGATTGACTGTGTACCCAGTGGCGACCTCCTCTGAGTCTTGCTTTTTGCCTGAAATGTCTTTCTCTGGCTCAAACAACTGAAAATTTGCTATTCAAACTACGAAGTCCAGGTCAAGCAGCCCTCTCTTTAAAACAACTTTTCAGATCTCCACCCACCTCCCATTTTCCCCAGCATTATTTATGCCCTCCTCTTTGCTATCTTTACCTGGAGGTACTTAACATTTTAAATTTATAGCACACAATATTTTTGTCATGCTCGTAATTATAAACAGGAAAGTTAAATGTTATAACATTCTGTGTGTATTTTGACTGCTTGCAGTAACCGATGGATGGGTTTAAACTTTTCAAAACCATGAAATTGCAGAAATTCCGAATAGAACCAACAGTCACGTTAGAAGACTTTAGAGATGAAGTTTAACGTAACCTCAAAGGTTTCAGCTTTTCTTTTCCTTAGTAGAGGGCACCATTAATTTTATTCATGCTTCTTAAACAAGACTGGAACTTTGTTTCTCACAAGTGAAATAGAAAATTGTTCTGAGTTTTGGCTGAGGTAATAAAGGGAGAGGGCAAAAAAGAAAAATTATGAGAACACAAAAACATGAATATGTGTTTATGAGATTTTAAGATAAAGTACACTCAATTGTGGTCAACACAGTGGTTCATATCTGTAATCCTAGTACTTTGGGAGGCCAAGGCAGGAGGATCCCCTGAGGCCAGGAGTTTGAGACCAGCCTGGGTAATAAAGCGAGACGCTGTCTCTATTTTTAAAAATAATTTAATTAAAAAACACACACACACACAATTGTGACCAATGGAAAGGAGAACAGTCCTCTGAAGAGAGTGAAGAAGTGATAGGAAGATAGTGATACCTGTGAACATCTTTCACCATCTTTCGATCGGCATGCACTGGAGACTGTTGGATGGCTTCAAAGCAATGTGCTATAGGACAGAAAGAGAAACAACAAGAGGAGAAGGGGGAGAAACTCATCATCTGCACATTTTGGGGTATCTGGGAATGCCCCTAAAGCTGGGCATTGACCAAGTTACTGTTTATCCTAAAAGGGGCTCTGGAAGTTATTGGTGTGCTAGAGGTCAGTGCCAACTCAGTTCATTGAACTGTACCCAATTATTTCATTGTATTAATACATCTTTTTCATGTTATGAAGTAAACAAAGGATGATATCAAATTGTCTGGTTAACTCCTTGTATTTTAGAGAAGACGTGAATAGTTCAGAGAGACTAAACAATGTGTCCCAGGGTCACACATTGAAACTGGATCAGAACTATGCCAGAATCTCAATTGCCCAACTTTGGTCCATAAAACTTATGTGATCAGGGTACATGCTGGGTAATCTAAATTTAAGTTAAGACATTGATTATAGGCAAATGGAGCAAACATGAGAACTCATGTAATATAAACCTTGGTCAAAGCAGAAAAATAATATTACCATGCAAAATCAGCCAAAGGATTGTGCCTCTTTTACATTTCTCTATTTATTTTTTGGACTTAAGTTTTAGATCTGAGCTTCAAGTACTGATAATGTCCAAGGAAAGGTCCCCATCTACTATCAATGGAAAATAAACTTGCAACCTGCCAATGATCGCACATAATAGGTGGAGAGTAGGGACAGGGAACAGTATGGGAAATAAATTGGTAGCTTCTCAGATGCTATGAGGACAAATGTGATTCTAATTATGAGTCTAGTCAGCCATCAGTTTAAGACCAGACATCCCCTAGCAGGACTTGTTCTTAGTTGAATAAATAATTTGATTTTGGAATTCAACCAAATAACTACAAACTCTGCAGCTGTGAAACTTATCTTTCATTTTGGTGTCTCTGGTCTAAATTTTACATTATATCTTACTTATTTATTAAACTTGTTCTCATTTCAACAGCCTTTTATTGAAGGAAAATATAAAAACACACAACTCCTTCAAAAAACAAAAAACTCATTTTCCCCATAGCCTGAAAGGCAGTGTCTCCCGCCTTTCAACGAGAATGCAAAATCATAAATTTGTGTATACCCAGCCCTGAATATCAAACAACTTCAGACAAGAAAATATTTAAAAATAATCCTCTGATTACAGAATTCTACATTTCAAATTAATTTTTTTTTAAAGTTAGAGTTTTTCTCTGTCACCCACATGATCGTGCAGTGGCACTATCACAACTCACCACAGCCTCAACCACCTGAGCTCAGACAATCCCCTCACTTCAGTCTCCCAAGTAGCTGGAACTACAGATACATGCCACCATGTGCAACTAATTTCTTTTTAATTTTTTATAGAGACAAGTCTCGCTATGTTGCCTAGACTAGTCTCAAACTCCTGACCTCCCGAAGTTCTGGGATTACAGGCGTGAGCCACTGTGCCTGGCCCAAATTGACCTTTAAAGCACTCTTTAAAAATGTCTCAAGCCGGGCTCAGTGGCTCAGCCTGTAATCCCGTGCTTTGGGAGGCTGAGGTGAGTGGATGGCCTGAGCCCGCGGGTTCGAGATCCGCCTGGACAACTTGATGAGACCTCATCTCTACAATAAATCAAAAATTAGGTGGGTGTGGTAGCGTGTGCCTGTAGTTCCGGGTACTTGGAAGGCTGAGGTGGAAGGATCGCCGGAGCCCAGTAGGTCAAGGCTGCAGTGGCCGGGAGCAGCCACTGCACTCCAGTCTGGGTGACAGAATGAGACTCCAACTCAAAAAAAA